AGGGAGGGGATCCTGGTGGGCAGAGGCACAGCGACGGACCCGCGGGTCCCCCGCGTCGCCGGTGCAGGGGGGGGGAGGAGGCCTCCCTCCTCCCCCTCCTCCTTCTCCTCCTCTGCCCCCTCCTCCTCCTCCGCCTCCTCTTCCTCCTCCTCCTACTCCTCCTGCTCCTCCTCCTTCTTCTCCTCCTCCTCCTCCTCCTCCGGGAGGAGGGGAGGAGGGGAGGAGGGGAGGGATCAGTGGCGACGCTAGGTAAGGATAGGATCAAGGGGGGATACGTGGACCCCCAATCGCTCATTGATCGCCGAGAACGGCCGAATAGCCCACCCCGCCCAGGAGCGTGTGGTTTCGCTGTCGGGGGTCTCTCGCCGAACTGTGGGCAATGTATCGCTGATTCCAGGTCGATGTTCCCCCCCCCCTGGAGAAGAAGAGCAGACGGAGGGGGAACGGGACAGTTTGGGACTGCCTCCCCAGTGCCGGAAAGTCCCGCTGCGGAGGCCAGCGAAGCAGAGCAGAGCACGTGCTGTGCGACCCAAGAGGCTGCACAGCAGGACGCCCCAAGCGCAACAAGCACAAGATGCGCAGTTGTAACGTACGTGGAGCGGGACGAGGGAGGAGGACGAGGGAGGGGTTGGAAAAGGAATGAGGGAGGAGGAGGGAGGATGGGGAAGGACAAGCTGGGCACGCTCGCGTCATATCTGACGTCCTACCCTTCCCTCCCATCCCTTACCACTGCGTAGGTCTCCTCTCTATTCGCACAGTCGGATGTCGCAGCTTGGCATAGCATTACGTGGCATAGCGTGGTGTTGAAGATCAACGCGTAGCATGACATAGCATGGCGTGGCGACGCCCCAAAGTGGGGGGCTTCTGCGGCCCCAAGAACAGTGAATCGACACCGAATGTGGAATCACTTCCGATGGCTTTTTCGGGGGACCAGTTTCAAGATTGTGGGGCCTATTTGGAAGGACCGAAAACCATGCCGTGGCATGGCACTGGAAATGATGAGGCCAGCGTTTCAGCGGGAGCAACATTGGTGAACAAAAAAACCCGCAACAACTCGACTCCCGCGAATCCTGTGTGAAAAAACAGTACGCGGAGGGGGGCGGGGCATCTTCCGGACATCATCAGGGGAGAGAGGAGAGTAGTATTCAGATGGTGTCATTGTGGAGGCAGGGAGGACGGAGGAGGAGGAGGAGGAGGAGGAGGAGGAGGCAGGGTGGAGAGGAGGAGGAGGCAGGATGGGGGAGGAGGCGAGGAGGAGGGAGGAGGAGGAGGTGCAGCACCAGCGGCACGAGGACGAGGAGGATGACCCCACTCCTCCCGGCGCACCCGCCTGGAGAGGTGCGGATCGCCCTGCGGCTCCTGGAGGCCCGCGCCCTGCGCCGCGCGGCGCCGCCGCGGGGCGGTGGCGCCTCCGCGAGGCACCGCCCGCCGCCCGCCCTGCGCCTTCTCCCCCTCCTCCTCCGCCCCTCCTTTCCTCCTCCTCCCTCCTCCTCCTCCTCCTCCTCCTCCTCCCTCCTCTCTCCTCCCTCCTCCTCTCCTCCTCCTCCCTCCTCCTCCTCCTCCTCCTCCCTCCTCCTCCTCCTCCTCCTCCTCCCTCAGGGGCAACGTTACGGCACAGCCGAGACGCTGGAGTGAGGACCCGCTGTCGCTTCGGAAGGGGCTCGACGGTCCTCAGGCCCTTCCATAGCTGTTCCTCTAGCCCACCTCGTGCACCCCGGCGCCGCCGGCGCCGACGAGGGGCTTCGTTCTTCATTCTTCGTTGCTGCTTTCGGCAGCCCTACTGGCGCGCCTCAGGGGCAAGGTTACGGTAGGTTCGTGTCGTGTGGACCGGCTGCGACCTCGGCGCCGGCGGTCAACTTGGAGCGCCGCCGGCGACCCAGAGTCTTTTGATGCTAAGCGATCGGACGTTTCGGAAGCGACCGATCGTGCAAGGTCTCGGGCCGAACGAAACGGGGGGATAGGGAAAGGGGGGGTACGAAATCTGCTGCGTGCAGCTGGTTTCGGCCCCGCCGCCAGGCCCATTCCTCGATACATTCATGGGAGCCTCCCGGCGCCGGGAGGCGCTGGGAAAATCAGCTATTTTCATGAGTTGATTCTCTACACTACCCTTTGCTATCCCCCCCTTTCGTTCCCCCCGAAGGTCGACCGATCCCCACGGCACGACACGAGCCCGCAGTATACGTGTCGCTCCGCCGGTTTTGGCCCACCACGCTCGGGCGCGGCAGGCCGTCCACGTCCCCATGTCAAGCAGTGGCGAAGCGTCCTGGCTCGCCTATAGGCCCTATAGGCCCACCAAGCAATGTTCTTAGGACCTTTTGTGGCTTCTACGAAATGTTCTTAGAACATTTCTGGCTGAGTCTGTCGTGTTCTCTAGTGCATCGGGTATATATATATATTATAAGAACATTGCTTTTGTTCTAGGAACATGCCGGGGTCCTGAAGACATGTCGTGGTAGGCCAATAGGAATGCCGGGACGGTCAGTCCCTGCTCAACCATTTC